CTATAATCTGATTAAATCCTGAGGTTATTTACTACCCTATATGTAGGTATATAGGCTGTTGTGCATTGCTTATTAATTTAATTTTGTAAATGGGATTTAAACCAATTACGATAATTATTCATTAACGATTCATTGTGAAGATAATTTTTTCTTTTAATTACCATAAAAATAGAAGGAAGAGTTCATGCTGAAATAAAAATTTAGTGGGTCTGTGTGGGTGGACCTCGAATACATAATTTGTTTTTAACGTGATCATATTTTACAGAAATAAAGTAGTGTTCATTATGATTTCATTAATTAACCTGATTTTTAGAATGTACGAGATCAACGACCTGTTTTTCTGTATTCTTATATACTTATAGGGTTTCAGATTAGACGTGAACATACCTATAATAAGATTATTAAATACTGATTGCCTTATTCGAACATTGCACTCGATATATCCTACGCTCATTTTCTTTTAATTATTGATTACTAATTTTCAAACTTTAGTAAAATAAAGCAATAAGAAACATGGGAGAACTGGCGGTAAAATAATAAATGCAACATTTTGTGATGTTTGCCGGCTAGTCGTTTTGTATCAACAAAAAATAATGCAGGTACGATGCTTGGTAAAGGTCTAGAAGATGGATGGGGGGGATGGAAAAAGGAGGTCTCCCCCACCACTGTACCATAAAAAGTTCGTGGCGGTCTCACCACCATAAAAAGTTATAGGGGTTCAAAGTTAATAAATATGCCAATTTTTATACATTTCCAGGCATGTAAATATTTATATAGTTATTCTTAAACAATATTCAAAGGTAAAACTTATGAAAAATACATAAAAATATTGAGAAAGTTATATAAAACATTATTTAAATATCAATATCAATAGGGTAGGTTAGGTTAGGTTATCGGGTTATGTTCAAATGACCACCCTCTTTCGATCGCCCTCCTCCACCCGCTAGAAAATATTTTTTTTGTTGAATTTTATTTGAATTATAGTGTATGAAAATTGTCAAAATAATCAACTCTCAACCGCCATAACATTTTATGGGGGTGAGACCGTCGCAAATTTTTTATGGGGTTTTACTCAGGTGACCACCCTCTTTCGATCCCCCCTATCCCCACCCCATCTAACCCCCATAACTTTTTATGGGGGTGAGACCACCACGAACTTTTTATGGTACAGTGATGGGGGAGACCTCCTCTTTCGATCCCACCCACCCCGAAGGGGGTGGGGGCCATCATCTAGACATTTACCGAAATTGCAATAACAACGAAGCAACTACATCGATCAAAAATGTAAACAATGACAGTTGTCGAGCTACAACTACAACTACAACTACATAGTAGTCTTCAGACGCTCATTGCGATAATAATTTAATTAAATAATTAATTTTGGCTGATAGTATGCAGTACTACTTAAATCAGGAACACCTTAACATGATATTAAAAACACACTTAATTTTCTTGTTTTATGGCGCCTTATCACCTTCTAGCTTGCCACTTATTTCAGAAACACCCTGTATACGATTCTGCATTGTAATTAACAAGAAGAGTATTTTTTTAGACCATAGTTCTCAGGGTCATCGCAGACATTTACCGAAATTGCAATAGCAACGAAGCAACTACATCGATCAAAAATGTAAACAATGACAGTTGTCGAGCTACAACTACAACTACAACTACATAATAGTCTTCAGACGCCCATAGCGATAATAATTTAATTAAATAATTAATTTTGGCTGATAGTATGCAGTACTACTCAAATAAGGAACACCTTAACATGATATTAAAAACACACTTAATTTTCTTGTTTTATGGCGCCTTATCACCTTCTAGCTTGCCACTTATTTCAGAAACATCCTGTATACGATTCTGCATTGTAATTAACAAGAAGAGTATTTTTTTAGACCATAGTTCTCAGGGTCATCGTAACGGTAGATCGCCAGACCTTCTGTAATATAATCCGATTGTGATTCTACTACGTACAACAATTTTTATAATTTAAAAAAGTACTAGCCGGAGTGCCTCTCAATTATAGGCATCTACTTAAACCATTAAAGTTGTTAATAACAAGTGTAATCAGCGTGAAAGTATAATAAAAGTAGTCCGAAAACGTGCAAGACCATTTCTTCCAATAATTCATTAATACTGATAAATAAAAGTTACAATGCCAGTTGTACAAATTCGAAACATAAGAAGGTATCCTTTTAGTCGCCGATTGTAACGGAATAACTGTATTTATCATTCGTTGTACCGTTTTTTTTTTTTACATAATTACGAATATGATTTATAACCTTTTGTTGTAAATTTCTTATTCAAGGTGTGTTTATGAAAATTTGACTTTTGTATGAACTCAAATAGCTCCTAATTACTCAATTAATGTCAGAAAAAACAACTGAATAAATCATTGTTTCAGATTGTGATTGCAATCACATTACAAGTAGATTTCTTGCTACTATTACGTTTGTTGTTCAATTTCCAATCTAGGTCATAATCGTCTTCAAATACCTGACCAGTTATATCAACAACTTTTTAAATGATTAAACACGTCGTAGGTGCTACACATCGTAAAAATATTATTAACAATTAGTTTTATGAAGTGTTGTTTTTCTTTTATGCCCACACATGGCAATCTGCAGGGATTGTAGGAAATAAAAAGCCAATTTACCATCGCATTATGCCTAATTATGTCCATGTTTAAACCCATAATGATTGAACAAACAGCAATAACCAAATGTACATAATCAAAACAAAAATTGCATAGGTAAATTATGTTAAATCCACTGTTTTCATATGCAATGGTGGAAAAGTCATGAATTAAATTACGAAATGGCACTAAAATTCATTAAATTTATTTTAAACTAAATATCTAATAATTCTTATGATCTACTTTCCTTGTATGGGGATTAGGGGTTAAAGATATATAATAATCGGGACTTGTTGAATTATGATTTTCTTATATTTGTGTGTTCTGTGACTCTTATTTCGATGTGTTGTCCTATCTGCCCTCTGTAACTAGTGGAAAGTCGATTAAATAAAATAATTCGAAGTGGTCTGTATTCTATCGAAACTGCCAGACGCGGATCGCGATTTCGATCTTTTTGGATCTCATCAGCGCGTCGCACGCAGCTCCGACAGAACACAGACCAACTTTTACCTGCCGTCTTAACAGCGCGTTTTGAAAATACCACAAATGGCGCGGCAAACGCCATCTGTAGTACGATGCTACATTTTAGCTAAGTTAGGTTAGCTACGCCGGGATTTGTTTCAGCAAGTAGATATCCATATATTTAAATGGATCTTGTTGGAGCATACGTAATCCTAAATCTCGGTTTGCCCTAGCATTTGTTCGTCATTAACATTATTCTGCTATCCGTGGCTATATAGCTAATTAACTAACCATGGGATTTTCATTTTTTCTAGTACTTGTCAGTTTTAAAGTCCACAAATAAATGTGTTTACGTGCCCATGTCTAATTGATGTTGATAAAGTTTACTACAAGACCATCGCTNAATAGATATATAAGAAATATATATCACAAGGATGATTTTGTCAACCTGTAAATTAGATTTATTACTTATCCTTTATCTCTATTTATTACTTCCGTTATCTCTTTTGAAGTTTAGAGATATTTTATAATTGTTCTGATTTCATTTAAATGAATGAAATGTCTATTTTTTGCTTGAAGATTTACAATTAATTAAAATATTTACTCAAAATTTCACAATTTTTGTTGTTAGCTTCGGCAGTAAGAATTATAAAAGGAAAGATTATATTACATTAAATTGGTTACCTATCCATTTTTTTTGCTAAAGTAATCATGTTCAGTGAGACTTACTGCATTAAAAAATGCTTTACAAAGAGTAATATCACTCACTAATTAGTAGATACACGAAAATTAAAAAGCAAAGTAAATTGTTGTACTAATTATACTTATAATTAGATAACAAATAGAAACTAGCAGGACTATTAGAATCAAGAGCTTTTACTGTTGAAAGAATACTGTTCTGCTAAAATTCTTTTGCACTTATATCTACAGGTACCAATTTAGAATCAAATAAATAAATATCTTTTTATCTTTTGACTACACTACTTTTATATGGGTATTGGGTGATACTTTTTCAATTTGCTATTAATGTATAGATACTTTATGGTGTTACCTCCCGTATGATACATTTCATGTGACAAGTTCAGCTTAATCATTTTTACATGGATGAATTATCTGAAAACATAATTAACAGATAACAATAAATGTTAAACAATTGGTTTTGTTTATAATAATAATACATCCCATTTTTGAATTAACAATGTTTTGTTAAAAATTACAATATTACAGTAATTGCTTTACACAATGGGATTGATATTCTTAGAATATACTTATTGTTAGTTAAAACAATTGTGATGTGTGTCAATAAATAATTAAGTTAATTAATTGCAGTGCCTTACGTAGAAAAACAGTACCCATTCTCAATAATACAAAATTGATGTTTCTTCACTAGATTTATATTTCAAAATATTGCAGTTTCATTAACTGTCATCTTATTGTGGATAAATATAAACAAACGAAGCAATTGTCTCGTTGTTTTTTTCAAAAAAGTAATTTCGGTTGTTTCAAAAATAATTATTATCTTAACCATTGTGTACTTGCGATTAGATAAAACTTTTGAAAATATAAAAAAAAGCCCTTGAATTTATTTTTATTTGTATTAATGGTATTGGAAACGCATCAAACACAAAATAATTCCCAATTAAAAATTGGCAGTTTTGGTACCGATTGTAAGTTAATAACAAATACTTCAGACGAAATTAACTGCAAAATTTTTGAATATCATAAATGTAAGTACAAAATTAAATTTAAGACAATGAAGCACAAAATATTTCAAGTTTGGATTACCCTTTGTCGGTTGATACAATATTCTCAAGCCAATAAATATCTTGTGAAAACATCCCTATGTTTCCTTGTTTTAAACTGTCGAAATTTGAATTATACAAAATTGTAAATAACTTCTTACCCTCTTCCGTTTCGTCTTTTGTTTTTGCTTTATCAGAAGTCAATTGAATGTGAGCAACTTGTTGATCGTTTACTGTGGGAAACATCGCGTGCTTTTATCGACATTATCTTGCTAGGTACATGAGTTTGTGTCTAGCACAAAAACGCGATTACTATTTGTGTTATATCGTGGATCAAGTTTTATATCTGTATCAAGTTACCAGAGACAAAACGAATCCCTAAAGTTGCAACGATTTTATTATTCGATGTCACGCCGAACGACAAACAACGCGAACTTGATCTGTTCTACATATAGGTACCTATATACTTCTTGTTAATCAACGAGCTCAATTATTGGTAAAACAACGAACTTACTCCCACATGGTGGACATGCTTCTTGTGATAAAACTGAATATCTACATGTACACATTTACATATTTGTATATAATGTAGGTATGTATACGTACATAAGTGTCTATGTGGGGAAAGATCCACATTGCTTCATTATGTCGATGTAATTAAATTAACCTTACATGACACAAAAAATCTTCATGGTATTACATGCTACGTATATATACATATATATGTACTGTTGCGTATAGTCAATCAAGAGACGGTCAGCGTCTAATTTATAAAGAAACTACGAATTTTCATAAAGTAGCTCAGCTTAAGTGCCTTTCGGTGAACAATTAGATCAAATGATGTCGTGTCTAGACCAAATTGACTATTACGTAATATCTGATTGTAGGACGACCGGTGTATAGGCGCTCAAAGATGCACAACCGTCCAAATAATTAGATATTAATTAATGCATGTTATTATAGCGGTATTAGCATCCGAGGTGTTAGAGATAGCTTTAAATAAAATGGAAGCGGTATTGACAAAACAGTATTGTATGAAAATGGATAAAAGTAAAATAAAAATACTGGTATGCAAGGGAAGAAAAACTAGGGAAAGAACGAATAGTGAGCGCGGCGGTAAAGAAAAGGTTAGAAGCGTTCGAAATGTGGTTTTACAGGAGAATGATGAGGATACCGTGGATGGAGAAGGTTAGAAATGAAGAAGTATTAGAAAGAATAGGAGAACAGAGGACACTATGGAAGTCAATAAAAAAGTAGGCGAGATAGGTTGGTAGGACACTTTCTTAGGTACGAAGGTCTAGTCAGAGACATATTGGAGGCAGAAACAGGAGTTAGGAGGAGTAGAGGTAGACCTCATTCGGAAATATTTAAGGGTGTGGGATGTTCTAATTTTAGGAAGATCGTAGATTAGCTCAAGATAGGAAGGAATGGAGGTGCTTGCCCAACCAGGGTACCCCGCCCATCTCTATTAGAAAGTATTGCCACATATCGACATCGGAAGCTTAGAAATGCCTTGTAGCTTTCAAATTCTTTCAAATGCTTGCTTTAAGTCGAACAACTGCATATGGCAAATGTCTTATAGAGAGTTAATTGTAAGATTATTTTGGTAATTATCTTCTAAAATAATTAAACGTATTTTATTTTCCTCATTAGTGATGCAGGTAACGTTAAAAAATTAACTTTTAATGAATAGATTTAATTAGTTAGTAAAAGTATTAAATTTGAAATAATATAATGATAATGTTGTGGAAAAGTATGAACTCATAATTATGGAAAATTTTTAAAATGCGTTTCCTTGTAATTTACATTTGAGATGGCGTGATCTGTTATCTGCGACGCTTTTTTGTTTTTAATAAGTGTTTCGGTAAATATTTAGTGGAATGAGTTTTCAACACTTGGACTGTAAATGTTATAGCGTTCAAGCGTAATATTGACATGTCAATAGTATAAATCTACAATAGGGAACTTTAATAATGTTGACCGTCAACTTTTTACAACTTTAGATGCATGCACAATGTTTGAATAAAACGCATAATTATGTTGACGCAGAATGCAAAGTACGGAAAATTAGTTAACTTAAATAAAATTGCAATAGTTATGTTAGGTTTGTCGTAATACCTGTTTACTCTAGTTTTATTTTTTAATAATTTCAGCTGATGGTTCAATTATTTACAATTTTTTTGTCAACTGACAAACACGAAGGTTCGCTGACTCCATATGTTTACTTTCACCCAAATTTTCTTTTTATAAGTTAATCTTTGCTACTGTGTGTCATTACTTGTGAAATCGTAATTTTTTGCCAATTTCATCTTTGGCATTAAATCAAAACGCGTAAATTTGAACAACCTTTAATCTACATTGTTATATATTTGCACGAAAATAAATGTGTACTTAACTTTTTCTTGTACGTTACATATGTGTAATAGACGAGCTTTCACGATGAAAATCTACGAGATATTAGATTTAACATTTTACAATTGTTGTTACCAATAAACAATTGAAAGGTAGGGTAGCCTAGATCTCCTCTTAATGTTTGTTAAGTCTGATTGAAGTTGCTTAAGCCATAACTATAAAACGTTTTACAGTAAATTCAAATCAAATTTTCATTACAGAATTGAATTTGTTAGTGTTTTTGTTGAGGTTTTATTCGACTCCTTAGGTCATCTTCAAACAGGAAGTGAAAGCTGTTTCTGTATTTGCGTGCTTTCAGTAAAAATGGAAATAGAAAATGAATTTCTCATAAAATCGATATGGAAAGTCTGCCTTGCTTTCCATTAAGTAGCAAACGACTGATAACAGATGTCTCTATGTTTCCTAAATCGACATACCTATATAGTCACTAAAAGTTCATTTTAAATTATTGTAAATAAGAATTTACTTATTATGTAAAAGGTGTAATAACTTAAACAATTGGTTTCATAATTATTAATCTTACTCTTTCGATTGTTGCCAAATTTTCATAATTGCAGGTACATAAAAGCTTTGATAGGACAAAAATAAAATACAACATATTCATATAACTACCATCTTTATTATAAGTTATTTTCACATGATCGTGTATGATAATGTATTAGGTTTATAAATGAAATTCTGGAAATTTCTTGTTTATTTATTAGTTTATCTACATCCAAACGTTTTTCGAACTAAAATAAATAACATCAGAGAGATAATTGTACCTCATACATTATATTCAAAGGAATTAACATTAAAATTTCTACAGGTTTACAAACTCTTTTTCAAAGTATTTTCTGGTATTAAGGGAAATCTTTTCGTGTAAAATCAAGTCCATTTAACGTCATTATTACCATATAATATTTGGTGCCACCAAACGAGACATTTGTTAAAATGAATAGTTTTCAATAGAAGGCATATAAATTCACACTAACCTAGTACAGCAATAGTAAATGTTATAAAAATATAACAGGAAAACAGTTTGTATGTACGTTTATAAGGTAATACGTAGTATACATACATTATTTATATATTAATTCATTTTTTTTTATCGTGTGTGTATAACAATGAGACTCTAAAAACTATCGTATCGCGTTAAAACTACTACTTGTAAATATGGTATAATATTACAATGTATATTGTATTATTATTAATAGAATAGATCTACATGTAATAATTGTTATACGATATAATATAATGTGAACGCTTGTTTTTAATGAGCAAAGATAACGTAACTACTTTTAGAAACAGTAGAAATTGGTCCATCTTGTTGCGTGACAATATGAGCATAGAAACTTGGGTCGTATCACAAATTGCAATTTTAAAAATCGACATATTTTTACGATCGATCTTGCAGAGGCGTTATCGTCAATTAATTTATTCTTTTGTCGAAAATTAAGAAAGCGAATTCGTTAACAACCTGTGGCCCTCTATTCCGTAATAATACGCTCAATATAAAACAATAATGAAAATAGGCATAAAAACTGCCCCTTTTTTTAAAAAAAAAAAGAACATTCAAGTTAGCTTTTCCCAGCTCGATAATTAAATCTAATTAAACAGATAAAATTATCTAAATGTTTGTTTTAGAGGCAAGTACGTCGTAGTTTACAAAAACCTGGTGTTGACCATCTAAATTGTCTAATGAATAGTCTCAATTAAGATTTAACAAAAAAATTAGGGTGTGTTTATGCTAAAATGATATGATGTTTGCTTCTAAGTAAAATCGCCAACATGTACTAAGCATATGCAATATTTATATGAAAAGATTAGGACAAGAAAAAATTATCTACTTTCTTGCTAATAAATACATGTAGGTATTACCTAATAATTACATTTATGTATAGTTTATATCCAGGAAATTTTTTGTAAGACTTATTGCTGGTAGGAACGTCCTGGAGTTGTTCGAAATTTGTTTAGAATTTATCAAAAATGATCATAGTTATTCATTGTTAATATAGATTTTGTAATTGTCTTTATTTGATTTATGTTATCAGTTCTTATCAAATAATAGCAACACAATCTTGAAGCCTGGCATATTTTATCCAGATCGTAAACGATATGATACACTTTTTTTTAAAAAAAAAAGCACAAAAAAGACCCATGATAAAAATTCTAAAAATTTTCAAATATTTCAAATACTGTAAAGTACCTACGTACGCTTCGCTGTATTGATGGTATTTTAGTGGACCTATCACCAGCTAAAACTTTACAAAAGATTTCTGGATACCCCGTATGTGTTTTCATACTCCAAATTAGCCTTACGTATTCTCTTAGCAAATTCTGGCATGCAATTCATCAAATAGAAATCTAATTAATTAAATTAAAAGAAGGTAAATACGTTGTTTTCGATGTGTACACGATTTTTTGCAACTAGTTTCCCCTACACAATAGATTAATTGAATGTAATCCATTCACAAGAAAACGTAATAAAAATAAAAACAAACAAAAAATACAGACATCAATTGATGTTTTTAAGTAATTAATTTTTACTACAATTCTAAATTCCTACTAAATTAATTACAATAATGCATTATCAATTTAAGTCATTTCTTCGGAAGCAATATCACATATTTTCTTACTCGCATAAATAATTTTATTGACTACAATATTGACCTAATAAACGTCAACTTGAAAATCAAAGGTAGGAATGCCAAAAAAAAAAAATTAATAAACCAATTGCTCAAAAAATTAAATTTGT